TCTTGAGATAGGGAACCATCTAACTGCCGCAGTTCAAAGTTAGTTTGAGTTGCAATCCTATTCTTGTGCGCCATATTATTGCACAAAAGATGGATCTTAAAGCTTGTTGGTTAATTTACTGTTCTCATGATGAGCAAACATGATATTGTTGCTTCACTTTTTATTCACGAGAAAAACTGGCGTTCCGGAGGATTTCGCCGTCTTAAAATCCTGGACGGATCAAACTGTTTGCAGTCTACTCAGCCGAACGCCTTCAAAACCAACCACAGCAAATACTAAACCAAGGTTTTAATCGCATTGAAAACAAAGTAGCTTCTTCGCGCACTCACTGGTTTCAACAAGTCTTCTACTGAGTATATCACGTGAAATCCGACCTCAGAATGTTCTGACGGATAGGTAGTGCACCTCTGTCACATTAAAACATCAATCTGAGATACTGTTTGAAATCACGCGTGATAACAAGGCATTCTTACCTCTAGTTCATTTTTGGGTTTTGGAGTTTATCCATAATGCTTGAGAGAAAGCGAAAGCAGTTTTGTGCGCAGAAGTTTCCGATTCCTTTGCAGGAACGATGACTTTACTTCAAAATCTTTTCCGCTTTGTCCATGTGTCCTACGCTCACCTAGCGGAGTATGTTACATGCTAGTTGTTACTGTTACTGTTTTTGTTCCAACCTTACAGAAACGCAAAAATATAGGATTCAAAAGGTTCGAGAGCTGATAACGTTAAAAAACATTACATTATCTATGGGGAGTTTGTAGTGTTTCTTCAAATAGATTTTGAGATAATGAAAAAGCATCTTGAAGATGCTTCCATTTATCGGCCAACATCCTACAAGGATTTCAAGTGTCAATGCTGAAAATTTAATGGCTACTAAATTAAAATTGCAAAAATGTGTGGTTTAAAGCCTTCAGTTGTTTCTGAACTCAAAGTTGAATTACGAACATGTTTCATCCTATACTTACAAAACTCATATGTCAGTATCAGTTTTTAAATCGACCGTTAAACTTGGAATTAATAACCAATACCTTTTTGGATTATTCATCTGACACGAGGTTGGTAAAGATATTTAGTCAGCTAACGCTTCGACGTCTTCGTCTTCCTCGAGACCCATGATCCAAACCGATGGTCCACATTCGTTCGTCTTCTCCACGTGACGTCTTCATTTTTATACCAATTCGAATATCTGTATACTAAGTTGGTATCTACTGATGATCTCGTGTCCACCGATCCGTTATTATTCAAAGTTAGACCTATTATTAGCTGCGTAGACAGACCACTGGATAGAATGACATGGTTTAGCCCTAATACTTACCCAGTTTTTAAAACAAACCCCACCTCATCTTATGAAGGTCCAGATATTCCCGGATCGACCACGTAACGTGCTTCTTAGCAGCGTGTGCTTGATGGAGTTCTTCGCCGTTACCGCTCTTTATACAAACGTACGAATGACCGCTATGCAAAACAACCGTGAACTTCTTGTTGAGCATGAAGGAGGGGTACATATGCATGGCTTGTCTATTCATCAGCTTATGGCTCCCTTAAAGGAATTCTTGAGACAGAAGGTCTAGTAACCGATTTCAGGCCATTACTCCACTGTAGGTAACTAGATCGTTTTATCACCTGCTCCACATAAGAGGAGATGGGCAGATGATTTGAGTTATTGAATGAATAATCAGAGCACGTTAAGTTTACTTGAGTTTGCTTGAAGGAAACCCAAAGAAAACTGGTTTTCATTTCTGAACATTCAAGTTAACCTGCCCGAAAACGGTTACATCACGATATGATACCGAAAGTTAAGTTGTGATGACATACTGTCTCATATTGTGTTCACTTTTTATTTACTACCTATCCTTTTCTCATAGCAAGTTATCATATAAAATATAACCACAATGATATTGAGATTTCCAGGACTCCAAAGGGCAAACGTGTTCACCGCTACCAGACCATGCGGGTGCTTCGTTTCGCCTTTCTCACAGCATTGTTCTTACCTATGGTGCTATCATCAATCAATCATTTGTCAGCGAGATTGATTTGGAGAGCACATATCGGCACTGAACCCAGTTAAGCTAAATCTGTGGTATGAGTCACAGTGTATTCACTTTTTATTTACTGCCTATTCTTTTTTCATGCCAGATTGTAATGTGAAATATACTTGGTATTTACTTGATACTTGAACGGTCCATCCTCACTAGTTGTGCGGGCCCCAGCATAATCACCATTTTTCGGAGATTTGCTGGCTAAGGCATTGTGCTTCCCTGGAATCCCGAGGAGAGCCTGGCCAAAGTTTGCCCTAGGTCTTCACCACCACGGCCTGTCGTAGTCCTTGTGGATCAGAAGGAGATTTGCCACCATGCGATTAGTTTGATACCAGGACGGTGGCGGATCCTGGTACTGGTTTACTCTTAGCTAGGCTTCCTGATGGAAACGCGTGACTCCTCAGCTTGCGAGACTCTGCCGGGAGACAAATCCTCCTGTACATCGCTGTCCGACACCCAGGAACACCTCCCAGCCATGATGAGGCGGTGAATCGTCGGGAGATTAACAGGAATTGCAGCACATGTACAAGCCTAGAAAGTACGTTTATATTGACGAATCTTTTTTGCCGTTTAGAGGTAGATTCGCCTTCCTTATAAATACATAATAGTCACAAGTATGGGCACAAATTGGTTAATTTGTTCTCGATAGTTGGTTACACCAACGGAATTTTGATGCATATGGGTAGCGATCTTTACGTGACCGGAGATGTGGCTTTCTATGTCCTAAATGATGGAACGCTCCCTACATTGCCATTTGGTGCACTAGTTTTCTCTTCTCTGTGAACATACCGCGGAAAAGGGCTCATCAAACTAGCAGATATGCAAAAATTGAGAAAAAAAAACCTTTTTTCATAGTCTATACGCATGTTCTTTTGTCCATAGCATTCGGCTAACGTTCCGGAACCGTCTTCATAGCCGCGTTTATCCTACTCGACAGCCCACAACTGGCCATTATCGTATTGAGTCGAATTCACTAGAGAGAGCACTTCTTGAATGGCGCCGCCACTCATCTGTTCCCTTATACGGGACGGATTTCAACAGTTGTTATACAAAGTGTTCTTCTTTGGGTCGAACATCAATTCGAAAATTGTTGGTTATACGTTAGAATTGAGAGTTACACGCTAAGAACCTTTTTGTAGGTAATAATTTTATTGTATTATTTACATCGTATTTGTGCACAGTTTGCGAACTTTAGATTGTGTAATAAATTGTTTTGAGCTAATATGACTTGGTAACTGCTTTGAAGGACAAACCGCTGAATCTCTCTAATGAGCGCTTACCCTGCGAATACCGAGTCCTCTCTGAAGAACTCTTATTAATTCAGTTTCTCATAAAAGCGAAAACCCCTCCCTAAGTGTCAAATTTCATTGTGGAGGCATTGCTAAGCAACTTCACCCGTGAAAGCCTGTAAATAAATGACAAAGCTCTCAACGTTGATCAATCTCTTAGGGATGCTCCCTGCATTTGATTTCGTCAAGCATCGTTAGAGGTGTTTGAGTGCATATCTGGTCGGGACAATGACCCGGGGTGACCTACCGATGTACCGAGCCGGTGCTGCTATTCTCCCAGACAAGTGTGGTACCAATTTGCCGACCCCGGGGGATGGAGGGCTTGATGAGCCTGGGGTGCGGTAATCGATCCCATGTGTATCGCATAGCGCATCCGACCATTGGGCCACAAACGCCCTGTGACAGTCATGTGGTACATAATGTGCTCAACAATATTGGCAGCAAAATGATCTCGTCCTAAAAAGTTTTTTTAAATTACTAAGTGAATAGAGTGGCTTTTCGACCATGCATGAGAAGAATCTGTTAGGCAACCTGTCGACTGAGTACAGAAGGTGCGTTAAAAAAGCTCTGTGTTGTAAAATTAACTGTCGAAGGTGACCTGCACGAACTGGAATGCAGTCTGTTCGGATTACCTTAACTTGTATAATTTACAATACGACATGAGCGTTGCATTGTAACACTTAGAACTCGGCATACATTGGATTCTACCTATGCTTTCAAATTTGGAGCTACTTATAGTAGACTTTTATAATTTAAATGATTATAGAGATCTTCGCACACAACTCTCGAGTTATTTTCATTTTGCTGTGATGAAATTCTGATTTTGTTCAACTCAGTGTCGTAATTTTTCGCGCTTTTTATCCAAGGTTATACTTTTCAGAGCGAAAGAGTTGTACAAGCGGAATTTCGAGCGTGACGACCTCGAATACGTCGTAGATGTGTTCGGCTACCGCTCTTACGTTAGATGTTTTTAACAAGTTAAATTTCATTCGCAGTGTTTTAAATTTAACTCTAGACAACTTTAGAAATGAAAAATTAATATGGAAACCATTTCTCAGGAGTTATATTTGCCGTTCTCTAAGTCTGTCGTGTTCTCAACTCCTGAACACCCACTTTTAGGAGAAACTGCAGGCAGTTTTCAAGATGTAGCTTAGGGCTGCAAATGTTAACAAGCTTCAAGCAGTAATGAACAAAGCTTTCACAATGTCGTCACTTTTTGGGATTAATTTTAATGTTATGATTTATACTACAGTTTCCAATTAACTGGGTTCAATGCCGATTTGTGCCTCCCAGAACAATCGCATTGGCGGGTGATTGCTGATAACACCTATAGATCGGTAATACGGTTGAGACAAAGACGAAGCGAACGACTCATATGGTGCGGTGGTGAACGCGTTAACCTCCGGAAAGGGTTTTAGCCATGGTAGTGGCATTTTCGGTCCTCACCGCAGACACCAACGGTCTGTAGTTTTGCAAATATCTCAGCATCATTATGGTTGAAGCTTTCATAGCCGGATCTCTCTAGACGGACTTCACTCCCTTCTTTCATCCGTTGAAAATCATGTCGAGAAAACTTTTATGAACTTTAAACAATTATTCGTTCTTGTTGTTGACTGATGAGATTCTGGGTGAGATGGTTGACGGCACGCAAAGATCGCAAAGGTTTATACTCTCAATTTGGATTAAATATGTCTTCATATCTCATGTATTTTCGTCTATTCGCCGTTGGTTCCCCAGGAGCAACGCAGTCAGAGAATCGCAATTTGTGGAATCGTGTGGCGTATGTAGGTGGATCTCTGGAAAGAATCTATAATAAAATTGCGTTAATCACTGGGAAACACCTAATGCTGTGTTGCCAGCTTTCTGAAGAACCTCACATCAAAATTCACATAGCGCTTTGAAATGAGCGAGACAGAAAAATTTGTTAGTCTGATGAAATTGTTATGCTTAGTAGCGATTGAGAAAGAAAATAGCCATAATGGATGTAACAATCATAAACTTGCCTGGAGGCATTTATTTGGAGGGAAAATCAAAACAAAATGTTTCCCTGGTCAAATTTTCGCTTACAGTATACATTACAGATAAAGTGTTGTTAGAATTCTAAAACATTCGGTAATCAGTGATTACTGGCTCTCACTCGGAAGTTGGGTGCTTCATCATACACAGTTTACTATAGTTGCAACATGAATCGATATTTCCATCAGTTAAAAATGTTATTTAAAGGAAATTGGGTTTGTTTGATACCTTATTGGTTAACCATCCTTGCATTGCTGTTAGTAGAGAATAAAAGTGCATTAAAAAATCTCATGAAATACAGAAACCGCAGGTTGGTGGTTTACCGAGTTACTGGCTTCCAAATTTTTCCGCTTTGAAGCATCATTGACCGCGAAAACGAGTCGTTAAACGACTAGAGGGAAGAGCTACACTTACAAATATTTATTTAAAATTTAGGCATGTTCTTCAACAAACGGGCGCTTGTAACACAGCGGCTACAGGTGAGACCCAATATCCTTCGTCGTTGTCGAACCCTACGCCTCAGAACAAGATGCCCTCCATCTCTCGGAATCATGTGTGTAGAATCACTGACGAGACTGATAAGGTAAGCACACCAAAGTCATTGTGTAAATCAAGTGTTTATCTAATCACCTCAAAGATGTCTGAAGAAGTCTAGTGCATCAATCACTGCTAAGGAATTGGTCAACGTTGAAGGCTTTATGCTATTTTTGGAGGACAGGGTTTAATGCTGTCTCTAAACCATATAATAAAGTATGGATATACAAAATTCGGCAGTTTGATAACGTTCCCATATTTTCTAGAACACCTACATGAAAAGAAATTAACTTAGAAGCAGCAATAGATGGTCCAAAATCATGGGCATTTGTTAGGTTCCTTCTAAGATTTCTCTAATGTTAAACAGTTTCACTTGGTTGAGTTTTTAGGAACCCTCTCACTTTTCCTACAACTTGATTTAATGACTGCACAGTATCCGTAGTTTTACATTATTACTGCCAAGCCCTAAATTCAGCAAAATTTTTTTTCATATTATGTAGCGAAGTATTACGACGAAAAAGCTCACTTATAATGAAGGATCCACTTGTTAAAGATTCCTTCAAAGCACGTCTCTGTATCAGGACTCAGTAAAAGAACCTAAAATGGGACTTAATCGTTTTGCAATTCTCTATAATGTGTTGACTTCTATGCTTGATATCCATTTGCTTAACAGTGTTGATTCACCCATTTCGTACACCACGACTGACTGAAGCTAAACCCAGGCCACCAAAACAAGCCCATATTTATGATGTCATCCTGTTTGAAAAATAACTTGAAGTGATCCTTAGCTCCTCTTTCGAAGTCGTCTCTGAAAATCGTATTTATAAATGCACTTATGGTTTAAAAGGGATGAGTCCTACGTTATAAAAAAAATAAGAGTTGTAGGAATCGAAATCATGGACTATATACGAAAGGTGAAATGAAATGAATAATATCGCAAGACATACCTTCCAGGATTATCCAGAAGGAACGTCTCATAGTCGTGAGCAGCCTCGTAGTAAACCTAAAATGTGGACACATATGGTCACGATTATATCGTTCAATAATCTGACATCTCAATAATAGCTTTTCGGAAGTATTAGTCGTAAATCAGCAAGCTCTACCTTCTAGTTCTCCAAATTCGTAGCTGAGAATGAGGTAGCTGGGAATAAGGGATAAAATAATAATATTTTATTAAATTGCTATTTCTCAATAAATTCGGCGATAGTTGGCTTGATTCCTCCGCGTACCCAACTAGTAGACTTCCAAAATTTAATCCTTCTTCATCTAGACTGGAAGCTTTTCTTCATTATTGTAATTTAAGGGTAACCTTGAGATAGACGGATGCATCCGTACCAGCTCCTGCCTCATCACACGTTGCAATCACTACGTCCCACACTCTTCCATCTTCTGGAATGCACTCTACTTCATTATTCGCCTTGTTTTCGTGCTTCAACAATAACAGTATGAAAAATGGAGATCAAGCTTGCAAAATTCTGAAAGAAGCAATAGGTATTGTAATTTCATCTGGTAATTTCTACTAGCTGGAGTATTAGAAATTACCCACGTTTCGTCGTTGTGTTCTGATCCTGTCCCGAAAATGACTGACTTAGAGTTTCAGAGCAAAATATGAATTGAAGAAGTATATATAGAATCCCGCAAAAGGTGTACATCAGTTGTGAATGGCCACTGCGAAGTACGAATGGCAGGGAACTGGCCGAGCGAAGTAATCCTCGTCCACATATCAACACGAAGCACAAACTCTTATTGAGGACACAAGGATTAGTTTAGAATAACATTTTACGTCCGTTCTTCAAACATCTTCACAAATAAACACAACATTTACACACACGTTCTTATGTGTTTATTTATCTATTATTTCTATTTATACTCTTTGTATAACATCTTATCAGCGGACAATCACTAGCAATAAAAAGCTTGTGTAAAAAAGGGATTTCGATTGGGATAACTTCACTCGGGTAGTGCTCCATTAGATTCGAGTCGACGCGATCACGAAGACTCACTTCGGAAGAAAGAAGAGCTGTGGACAGTCGACTCGAACCAGTTCGGCTCTGAAGAAGGCGAAGGTGCCGAAACGCTAGCAGAATGGTTTTTTTCTATCAACCTCGTGTTAGCCCATCAATCAAAGAATACATATCATTTATCACACGTGATCGGGCGCTTTACTCGAAACTGATTTTTTTTTTTGACTTGAGTAGGTCCTGTTCCGTCATCCACGTGAACACCACATGTAATCCCACTCGTAACAGCACCGTGAGCAGTTTTTGAACAATATGGCGTTATTTTATGTATTAAGTCTTCATTAAAGCTATAGATTTTCCATCGAATTGTAAGATTTTTCTCGTCTATAATGCTGAGATGTTTGCAAAACTCCGGACCGCAGGTGTATGCGGTGGGGAACGAACACACTATTGTCCTTACCGGCGAGTAGCGCACTTCACCACCACACCATCCGGGTCCTTCGTTCTCAGTATCATTGAAGTTAGGTGAATATAGTTTGTATTAATGTGTGTATGCGTTACTAATGTCATTACAACAGCTTTCAATGCGGTTCTCAATAGTTCTTTTCGAAAAATGTGGACCGGAAAACACCGTGCATTTTGATGACGCCACATAGAAATCAGAGCAGAGACATCCATTTAGCATGCAATTAGCATTTTCGCAACATCTGATACGAATCTAGTCCACTATAATCGGAAATGTTATAGAACTTAGCGATTTACAAATGGTTTCAGAGATGATGACGAAAATTCCGAGCAATTTAGGACTGTTTCCGAATCGCTGCTACTCACGCTTATCAGGATTAAGTCACATGTGAATAGCAGGCATCTTTTATTCACATTAGAACACTGGCGCCCGCCATTGATTTCGCGGAGGTTAAAATCCCCCACACTAAACGTTAAATTTTCAACAGCTGGGGCACTTATGGTGTTGAGAATAATATAAGTTTATAGAAGAGCCTTCACTCTACTACCTAGAGGTATAGCGTTGCTATTATATGCCAAATTTTCAGTGAGTGAAAGAATATCGCTGCAAATGTTAAGTTTATTTCTGCATTTTTTGTAACCAACTATTCCATGTGATAATACTGGCCCATCGTAACAATCGAAAATGAGAAAGTGACAAATGATTGATTGAAAATTGGACATTTTATCCCCTACATAGGTGATAAGAGCTTTCTCCTGATAACTGCCCATAATCTTTGGGAACTAGAGAACTTGCGGTGTTTCTAACGCAGAAACAATGTCATAAAGACTTGTTCCATCAATGTAAACAGAGCTAGTAACTCTTCTAGGATAAAAACTGCATTTTAAGCTATTTAAAATTCTGACTTCCACTGGAAAATCCAGTTCTTTCGTGGTTAAAAAACAAAATTGATATGTTTCTGAGAAAAATCTTCAGCTTCCAATAGTTTTCATTTCCGTTCAAAAATTGCATTGTGAGCTTAGATATACTTCTTAAAATGGGTAACGCCCTTGGGTATTTGTGATTTGGAAGTGGATATCGATCAAAGGGTGCAAAAATTCGCAACCTTAATGAAATAATAGAGTTTCCCATAATTTCATCAGAGAAATCGGAGCCATTATTCCTTCACTGTTGAGGATTATTCTAAGAGGTTTGGGTATATAAGGATTCTCTTCATGAGGTTATCGTCACCTTACCCTTTTTTCAACACTTTATTCTTCTTGTTTATTCTCACTCGTCTACCTCTATTTTGATACGATCGTCTTTCCTAATTATAAGGGATTTTCTTGTTTGTCGTTTTGGACTAATGTTGATGGTCGAGAATTTAATATTATGGCCTTGACCCATATAGGCTAACGACGACGTCAACTTGGATCCCAATCTATTTATCAGTGAGTGCAACACCGAAAAGACTAGAGTTTCGAAAAACCGGTGCACAGATCTTAATAAATTGTTTATAACTAATATTTGGTAGCTGGTAGTTGACAAGAAGAACGGAGTCGGAGTGGTGTAATGGTGTTGAAATGAAATGGAGTTCACGACTTTCAGTGACTCTTTCCTTCAACTTATCAAAACCGGGAGTGATTTAAAGCTACAACAAGGCGTAAGTTTTCGTGGATACAAATTGTCAGACAGTAGCCGACTCTCCAAGTGTTGGAAAGACTGGCAAGTGATACATATTGCCCGCTCTTGGCTTGGACACATTTTTTCACTAATACTTTAAGTACATGCAGCTCCTATTCCATCCTAACGTGTCTTATGGACGCACAGAAGATACATAGTAAAGTGCGCAATAAGCGGCCGTGAAATCGTAAATGACTTCATGATGGGAGTCTACTTGTGCTATGTTGTATGTGGGTAATTGGACGTTGTCGGGTTTCCATTCCGGTGAAGAAAGCGACGTAGGAAAGAGGTTAGAGAGTTCGAGATGATCTGTGGGATGTTGGAAAGCAATTGCAGAGTAACACAACCGAAAATAATACGCTGCTGTGTGTGTTTTCAGCTTTTGCTGTTGCTTATATTGTTTCAGTAGACGTAATACAACACGTATATAATTGCTATGATAGTCTAAGTAAAAATCGTTGACAGAATACTAGGAGTGGTAGTTGTAAGTGGAGATCGAACTTACAATACGTGGTGAATTATCTCTGAAAGACCTCCGTCGACGTGTTTGTAAGCAAATATTTCAAGGTGTTCTTGTTGTTATTGCTATCACTGCTAGTTATTATAGCCAAACTTTATGGTGTGAGATATATATATATATATATATAAATGTATGTATATACATATATGTGCACATGTATGTACATGTGTATACATCGTGTAACTGTTTACTGTAAATTGTATATTTTAAGATAAACTTGACATAAAAACGTGACATGACATGCTAAGTGTTTCGAAAGACAAACACTGTTGAATCCCACTAGTGAGCTCTTTCTCGCTGAGCACCAATCCACACTCAAGAAGTCCCTACGATGATCTTATCGTCATTTTATCATAGCGAAAAACTTTTCCTAAGTGCCGAACCCTAGTGTTTAAGCAGTGACGTTTCCACGTCTGTTCACTGGCCGTACTGTTTATGCTGCATACCATCTTCAACGGTAATAGTTCCTTTACAAATTTTATCAAGTGCAGAGAACAGCTTTTCGCGAGGCACCACTGGTATTGGGTCTAGGCCTGAAAAACCATCGATGGAATAAAAATTTCGCCGAAAACCTCTGGTAAAACACTAAAGAGGCGTGGCAGGATTTAACGTCACGCGGTAGATAATCTGTTAAGCTCAACCCTTTATCATTCTAAGCAGTCTATCTACTTGTTCAGAAATAAATGAGCGTTTTTAGCTACATTATTTAAAATGTCTTAATTTTCTTCAAACAAACCCTTATTAATTAAAATAAAAACAATTTGAATCTAGACACAACGAAAAGAGGTTTGTTTATCCCAGTTGCATTAAATTGAGAAAATTCGTCCTTGACATCTAAAATTGCAAAGCTCAAAATTGTTTATATCTATTTTTGTTCATTTATTTATTTGACCCGTCTTCACGTCTACTGTACGGATCCCTGCACTTCTCACATTCGATTCGTTTCCTTGCATCCACTGTCCACGAAGATCTTTCAAATTTGCGCGTGGCTTCGGTTGCTGCTTAACGATTTTCATTTCATCTTGAATGTCGCAGAATACTGGTCGAGCAATTATCCCTGGAGTCCTGAGATAACCGGGCTCGAGCATTCACAATTCGAATTCGGAGAGTGGTTTTTTCCCACACAAGTCCGGTACCAATTCTCCGACCCCGGAGGCATGAGGGGTTTGGTTGGCCCGGAGCTGAATCGAACTACTACCGTGCTCATGATGACGGCCATCATTACCACTGTGCTATCCATCCTCTAACCTCAAAATTGGAAAAAAATTAACCATTGATAAAATATGAAAATAATAGGATAAAATATGGTTAGGAAGATCATAAAATCAGTACAACGAACATTTTATTGGTAAAAATACATTGGAACAACAAATATTTCAAAACATTTATTTCTAAACAACGCATTCTAATTTGCCTCACAGACAACTGGCTAGTCTCTGGTTTCCTTCTTACGAAACGTTAATTAATATTTGTAAAAACCCGCTTGAGTCATATAATTGATATCGGCGCACAACACTATAGCAAAGTCGTCGGTGCAAGCACTACTTGCCCCTCAACGCAAACTCCAACAAAATACCGGTTACACACCCAAACCCAAAGTTCTCCTAGTTTGCATGCGTTATTTAGCATTGTAGTCAGTGTTCAGTAACATTTTCCTACTTACTATCTCTAATTAGCTATCATGATGGGAAATATTATGCCTGACCTTAAAGTCACAAAATGTGAGCCGTGCTATTCTATTCTATTCTTTGCCTCGTTTTTTCTGCATGAAGCAGCTAAACTTTTATTGATCTAAGTGCAACGCAGAGACACAAAACATTTAGGAACTAATAGCTTAATTAAATAACTCAATTAGCCGACTTTCTATAAACCTCGGCGTAAATAATCAATACATTTACTTATATCTTCTTTTGAACTGATCTTGTGAAGGTGATGCGAAGTTGGTATAAGTTGCTGTTGTCGTTGTTGCTGCTGCTCGTGTTGTTGGTCGATGGGCAGACCTTTATATATTCATATAAAAGATCAGCTAAATGGGAAACGAAAAACAAGAAAAAGTATCCTACTAGGAACGCATAGGATACAGAAACATAGCGGAGACGATTCTGATGTAAAA